TTATGCGTATTGAGGGGTTAAGGTTAGGGTCGGGTGGGTTTTTAGTTTAACCCTGAGATCTCCGTTCTGGTGAACCTGGTCTCACCACATGCTCCCAGTGACAGAATGGCAGTTTATCGTCATGAACACATGACATTATGACTCGCGGACCAATACCATTTACTCATACCAGTACACCAGTTATGACCAAATCAAGCACGTAATGTCATATGAATGAATATTGGTATTTGCCATGCTAGCTGCAGTGCATTTTGGGTAAAATGCGGGGTGTAACCATGATGAAAAAAATACTTCACACTTGGTTCTGGCCATGATGTCACAATGTACCCATAAGGCCACATTTAAATTAAGTATAACTAGCTATGAAATATTGATCTGAGATTTTTTGAATTCATTATAACTAGACTTTTTCTACACATTTATGTGAAGAAATTATATGACAAGTCTAATTATATTAAATCTTTCGCGACATGGCTACATTTTACTGTGTCTTTAAATATGTTCTCCCTGGCTCATTAGCATAAGTTTGATTGGACAGTGATGGATTGGCGTGGATGTCGCCGAGACTCTGGGGCCCAGGGAACCTGGGGAGGACACCCCTCGTGGGAGGGCCCCAGCAGGCCATGTCCTCACCACCGGCTCCTGGCAGAGTGAACGTCGCTGTCTGCTGGGACGCATAGAGCAGCCATTGTCTATGAAGAGGCCCTGAGACCTAAAGCCGTGAGTATCTGAGCTGAATAGGGCCCTGCGGTGAAGCCGAAGAGGGCCCCACAGTGAAGCTGAAGAGGGCCCCATGGTGAAGCTGAAGAGGGCTCCACGGTGAAGCTGAAGAGGGCCCTGCGGTGAAGCCGAAGAGGGCCCTGCGGTGAAGCCGAAGAGGGCCCTGCGGTGAAGCCGAAGAGGGCCCCGCGGTGAAGCCGAACAGGGCCCCGCGGTGAAGCCAAGCAGGCTGGGCTACTGAGACCAACTTGCATCCATTCATTTGTCTGATTATATTAGGATTTGACCTGAGACTTTGCTCTTTTATTTTTAGAAAATGCCCCCATTCTCAGTGTAAGTGACGGGGGGTGGCGTTTGCCCCCTTGTGGAGCAGTGAGTTACAAACCTTGTGTTTTTACTGTATTTGATGGATTTGGCCAAGTCCTCGCTCTCTGCTGGAGACCCCCCCAGCATGCCCAGGGCGGCGGACGTGCTGGGATCACCCTCAGACCAGTACAATGGCACTAATGGATTAGACAGTAATACAGGGGATTCGGGAGTGAGTGGGGGGTGGTGATCTGGGGCGGCACAGACATCCAGTGAGCTGTCAGATCCTGTGATCCAGTGATCCAGTGATCTCCCCTCACCTATATGCATGTGCTCTTGTGGGTCCCGCTGTTCGGCAAATCCAGTTTCGCGTCTCGTTTTTACCTTTCGGTGGGGGGGGGCAAGGCACTGCACAATACCTGTTTAAAGATGTGTTATGGGTGACTACCAGTGCCATAGAAATCAGTCAAAAATGATCTGTGTTTAAACACAGGACCAGTATAACTTAAAACTCCATTATACTTGGAAAGTAGTTGGTACATCAGACTGTATTGACATTGTCAACGTCTATCTCTGGTTCCCACATATGGAGTACAGTATTGGGCAGCCCAACAGTAAGCCGGGGGGGGGTCGAGGGGGGGGGCAGCTTTTTTCAGGGCCGGCGAGACTATGAATGATGAGCAAAACACAGCCATTAGCCGGCTTTTCAGCTGCCGCGTAATTAGCTCGTTAACACGGTCCTAATCAGGAGATGAGCGTTGCCAGGAGACAATTAGTGACATTCGGCCAGCATTTAAAGCTCAGTTTGAGTGTGACCCCATTCACAAAATGCTGAAGATTAATGGTCACGTTTATGCGTTTAGCTGCCCCCACTGGCCATTATTTAAACTTGGCTGTGTAACATGCGTAACATTGCTGTGCTAATGAGGACTATTTTGGGTATAATGGAAAGCGCTGTCCCTGTACCGTGCTATATGTCATTCATCCATCCATTTTCTGAAGCTGCTTATCGTATTCAGGGTCGCGGGGGGTCCAGAGCCTATCAGGGAGCCTATGGGACCAGCTCAGGATGGGACACCAGCCCATCACAGGGCACACAGACACACCACAAACTCACACATGCACACCTACCATGTTATATGTGTAATATACACACTCAGTGACAAAAAACAAGCACCCAGAAGTAATGGTCCGATTTGGATGTCACTCCAGTGTTCGATTTGCAAGGAGCTGGCATGTCTACTCACCAGACACAGAGGACGCCTCGTAGACGCATTAGACAGAATTACCAGCACTGGACGGCGTTTGATAGGCGTCGCATTGTGGGTTTGCATGAGGCCTGCTGGTCGTAACGTCCTATTGCCCGGCATGTGGGGCATGCAGACGTCGCAGTCGCGCCATGTTGGAACCAATCATGTCAGTCTGTCATGTTGAGGTCAGTCTGTCATGTTGAGGTCAGTCTGTCATGTTGAGGCCAGTCTGTCATGTTGAGGCCAGTCTGTCATGTTGAGATCAGTCTGTCATATTGAGGCCAGCCAGGTCCCCCGATCTTTCCCCAATGGAACATGGGTGGGATCAGCAGTGCCCACTCTGCTGTCTATTTGATCTGATATTATAATCATTGCAATACAGTCACATGACCTTTCACCACATGCAGATTCATTTCATTTCCACCACTGCGTCTGGGTGCTTTTTTGTCACTGAGTATATATAATATAACCTTTTTATTTGTTGTGCATGTGAATGAAACGCTGACTGCAGGGAAGAGGATCTGTGGCCTTTGGTCCTGCATGAAAACCTGAGCTTCCTGAAGCTCATTCTGAGTCCAGCAGCTCCAGCGAATCTGATCATTCAGTCATAATTAGAAAATGAATATTTCAGATGCTGCAGTGATGGACCATTAGAGTGATGAGTTCTGGAATCTGTTATAGCCTTCATTGTCCTCCCAGCAGAGTCCATGTGGAGCTCAGGCACGCAGACATTGATCAAAGACGAATTTCTGCACGCGACCGTGGGCAATGAATTCAACTTTTGGGAAGAGATCCTTACAAGTATTGTAACAGAAAGCAGTGTGTGTTGGGAGTGCAGAGAATTGGAGTGGATGGCGTGTGATTGTGTGATGATTTCACAGCTCTGCTCCTCCGCTCTGAAATGTCAGTGGGAACCATGTGCTCTTTACAGGGATCTGGGCGGTTATGGAGCTGGCAAAGTTTATGGTGACGTACTTGGTTGTTCAGCCTTTCACATTGTCAAAGAAGTTTTCTAGATTCAAAATTAAAATACAATGCCCGTGTAAGTGATCATTACAATTCAAAATTATTTCAAATAATCAGCTGTAAAATAGCATTACAAGTGTATGTATAGTAAATAATGGAGCTCTTTGTTGCGATCTGCGCCTGTGTTCTGGAAAGTTCTTGGTCTGAATCCTGTAGCTAGTAATTATATTACCAATAAGCCCTTGGACAATTAAGGTCCTTAAGTGCAACTGCTCCAGGGGCATCGGATGGGGTATGCAAAAACACACCCAATTTTCCCACAGGAATGAAAGAAGTACCATTATTATGTACTAAAAAGTATCATTTAAGTCCATTCACCAAAATTAATAGAGATTTGTAATATTTTCGCCGTGTTATTCATTGGAATTTAGCAGTATTTAAAAATCCATCAAATCTATGTACGCAGGAAATGACGCCAGGAATGTACGCATGCCACCTGATTTTTATTTATTTATTTTACACAAAGTTTGATAAATGATCCCCGGGGTTCTTACCGCAAAAACGTGAAGGTGGGAAATGGTGCCACCTGCCGATCACATCATAAATTGTAAAATTTGTGTATTTAATTTTTCATGCATTTCAACAGAAAATGCTTATTCATCTTCTGTGTTCTCCTAATAGCCTAAAAGATTTGCAGGACCCTGAACACTTCAGCTTGTCAATATATTTTCAGAATTAACTCACATGTGCTTGTCCAGTTAACAGTAAAAAGGAGAATATCTTGTATATGTGAGGTTAGAAGGGCTCTCTTTGCAATGCCGAATCTAAGTAGAGGCCAGTTTAACCTCTAAATCAATATGTTTGATATATACATTACTTATACGGTGTAGTGACCTGAGAAAACCTTTGTTGAGAATAATGTTTGTTACCACTAGAGGGCGCGAGTGTGTTATCATATGAGTTCGCTCAGGTTTAAATTCATCTTTTTGAGAAGTTTCCCCGATCTTAAAAAAATCCAAAGAAAACCAGGGATTGTGTGGAGGCTTTTTTCAACGCGGAATCAAAGTAGATGAATTCTTGGATTCTGTCAGAATACGTGCTTGAAATGCGATGTAATGATGACATGAGGACACCTGGGTCCCTGCAGCTCAAGTCCATCCATCCATTTTCCGCACCCGCATGTCCGATGCAGGGTCGTGGGGGGTCCGGAGCTCGTCCCACAAGCTAGAGGCGCAAAGCAGGGAATAACCCAGGATCGGGCGCCAGCCCATCGCTGGGCTGCAGCCTACGTCTGATTTCACAAAACGGCAAATCGACTGCTGGCAGGCGAGACGGCTTTACTGTCTGGCCAATTTCTGCAGCAATATTGGTTCAGTTTGGGGCAATATTGAGGCTTATCAGCTGTGTTGCCTAATTCTGTCTCGCTAATCTAAATTTGTCCACTGGCAGCAGTTCTGGAATATTCCTTTCTGGATTAATCATATTCATATTTATGTGTTTTGAGTTTTATCATATTCTCATTCTCAGTAGCCTGGAGGTGAGTTCACATTTATGTAATTATTTAAGTTTGATGCTGATCAGGTTCTTTATTAAGCATCACCGGTGTTGCTGGGGCTCGTTCATGATTTTGCTGGCCGGTTTCTGACGAGGCCTTTCTGCCTTGTTCCGCTGGACAGCCTTGTAAATGGTAACACATATGTTAGCCCAACATTGTTTATTTCAAATGATTACATCTGTTCTTTTCAATATTTGCTTGTTTTATTAGTTTGTATTGTAAAGCATACAGGTGCACATTTAGTTTACACAGCGAGGTACTTTTTAGAAATCCAAGATAAATGTCTCTCTAAAAGCGGTACAACAGCAGGACCCTGGAATCCCCAACAGTCCAATCAGAACCAGAGGACCCCAAAAGTTACAGCACCCTTCAGTACCTCGGTTACAGGAAATCAGAGGTCCTTACTTAAGGAAATCCAACCAAAAAAAACATAAATATTTGAGCTTCATAAATATGATTTACCACAGGAACTTGTAAACACATCTTTGCAATATTTATAAGAAAATATTCACAGTACAAATTTATATGCACAACATGCAGAACAGAGTCAATGTGACTCAGTAATTCTGTGATTCACGCGAATGATTTAACATTCTCTTTGTTCTGTGTTACTGTCATGCGACACTTAAATACAGTGCTAGGTTAAAATCCCAAGCAAATTTAGAAGCTGACAGACATCTCAGCACACAGTAAGAAATCCTTGTGCCATCTTCAGCCCAAACCTGAAGCGGTTTGACTCTATTATTGTGGTTCCACGTCATAAACACGGCAATTTGTCTCCTTTTCCTGAATCTTGCACGGATGTTTACAGGGGACTGTAATGCTGTCTTTGCTTTGGATTCTGAACAGCATAAGCGCCAAACCGCGTGTTGGGATCTTTCGGCCGGATAACTGCGGTTTTTCTGGAAACTTGCCAGCTGCTTACGAAAAATGTGACTTTTGCTGGGGGAATAACTAATAATCAGCCCCCGCCAGACTGAGCATGTGTGTTTCACCGCTCTTGCAGTTCAGCCATATGGGTGATGGGCCTTTAATGGCTTGGTCTTCTGTCCTGTGGCACTGGATGGATTGAGATCTTGGTTGTCCTGATGGAGTAGGAGCTCCCCCTACTGGGCTTCCAGTGCATGCCTCTTCTTCTCTCTGTTCGACCCCTAGCCCTCCCGTGGATGTATTTCCCGTTTAGGTTCGCGTCTCCACAGGCGTTGAACCACCATCCACCTGCAAGGGCAGCATGGGATTGTTACAGTGTTTGCCTGCCTAATTTGCTAATAGAAAGTGTTAGTTATGTTTACCAAATATGGTAGTTAATTGTGGTGGTGTCATGTCATAGAGTGTCTTGAAAACACATAGAATTTTTGGATTTGTGTGTTTTTTTTAATGAGTTGATAATATTTTTTTTAATGTTTCATTTGTGCCAGCTGAAATTGTCATTTTAAATTTCAAAAGTCTTTAAATAATTGTACATTAGGGTCTCTGAGAGGTGACTTGGATGGTTGTGACACACCCTTTAAAAGTGCTGTGCTCCCAAACAGCACACAGCGCATTGCTGTGCTTTGCTGTACTGTGTTTTACTGTGCTTTGCTGTCCTTTGCTGTACTGTGCATTTGCCGGGACCCCGCAGGGGGGGCGCTACCTGTGTAGCTGTGAGCACAGTTGGCCTCAGCATCGTTGTCGTTGTCTCTGTCCTTTGTGGTGAAGCCCATTCCGGTCTGATTGCCCAGAGCATCTTCCAAGCTGCCGCTCAGCGGTCTTAAGCGGATGGCGTAGTGCAAGGCCGCCCCCTCCAGGCTGAAGTGGTAGTCGGCCGAGCGCCGGCCCTGTTTCCAGTCCTCCAGCTCGATGCGCAGGATGTAGTCACCTTGGCGGGCTATGGAGTGGATCTTCCGCAGGCCCAGCCAGAACTCTCCTGCAAAGCGTTAATGGTACAATGAGACATCACACACGTCAGTGATGAGAGAACATCCCAGTGCATCAGGCTGACTGGCAGAAGGGCGGCCGTCTGAGTCAGCGGCTCCACCATCCCGCGTGCCACAGGCCTCCTCTGAATGGTGACTCCCTCTCTGGTGACCCCCCCCCCCAGTTACGGCCACCACGCCCCCATCTGGCATTCCGTCACTCAGCAAACTTGCCCTTGTTTGGTGTTTTTTTTTTCCCCCTTTTTTACTTGCTGAAAGGTCTTCTTTTCCGGAACCTTCTCTGTACTTTCTGACCCAGTAAACTTCATAAAACTGGAATCAGCATCTACGGTGACCCATCCCCGGGTCACATGGTTTTTGGTCACCATCCTGGCCAGAAACACTCGCACCTTCATCCCCAGTCACCATCATTTCTGAGAGTCATGTTGTTCCTGAGTCACTCATTAACAATCACTGTTTGTCTCACATGCAATATTGGTTCGTTTTTGCATTATTAGATAAAAAACAGGCACTGGTTGCCTTTAGGGATTTTTCAGGCCTGCTGGGGAGGTCGTGTCACTCTGCCCTTTGGCTGCCCCCCCCCCCTAGCTCTCCAGTTCTCTGTCATGACAGCAAAACATCACTCCGTTGTCACCTGACATGTGCTTTTGCCAAAGGATCAGAGACAGTCAGCCAGTGTTCCTGGGGCAGTTGTGTTTACGGGCCTTGCTCAGGAGCCCATCACTGACACCTGCCAGAAATGGCTCTAGAACTGGTAACCTTCTGGTTACAGGCCAGTGAGCCGCATACCATGGCAATGTGTTTTGGTAGAATCACAGCAAATATGAGTGTTTAACATTTTATGGCCTTTAACCCAAGACAGTGAGCTTCTGATCTTACAGAACTTCTCAATGGCTGCAAAGACAGAAGACTGATATTTTCTGGGGCGCCATTCAAAGTACTTTGGGGCCCCTACAGTGTGGTGACTGTTTCTGGCCAATAGAGGGCCCCCCACACCTCAGGGGCCCTGCACAAATGTGTGGCCTGAGTGGTGGTAACCACATCCACTGGGTGTTTACTGGCTAGTCCTGTTACTCACTCTCAAGGCTCCCAAATCCGTTTTCGTACTTCTCCCACGTCTGGTCGAATTCCACTGACCCATCCTGCCTCCGCTGGATGACTGTAGACCCTCCATCTGCGAATGACAGACATTTGATTGGCTCACTGACACCTACTGGGACACCAGTCATTAATGAATCAGCCTGATCCTGGTGTCGCCCCAGTAACCTTCCCTGTTGATGACTTTGTTGTTTAAAAATTTTACATTTATAACTTTAAATTTAAATTCTAAGTAAGTACCAGGTGCCATTGTCACTTGTATGTTAAGTTTTAGGGTTTGTCAGTAGTTCTAGCTTTGTGCTGTGGTTTAAACATTTTTGTGAGTGATTTTTTTAAGACGTTCTTATGGTCTTCAGGACAGGTTATAGAACAATCTGGACATTCGTATGTCTCACCTGCCGTCATGTCGCAGTAGACACTGAAAGGCTCAGACTGGTTTGGCTTGACGAGATACACGCCGCTATTCCTCTCTCCTTTGTCGAACACGTCTTGGCAGTCTGAGGGATGATCTACAGTTTGGATAGACAGTTATGTCACATTTCCAGTGCGATGGCAGTGATGTAACGCGGTGCACAAATCTTTGGTTCCCTTACCGTTCAAGTCGGGCCTCCCGTTAGCTGAAGCATTCAGCCGGTTCCCTACAAGAGGCTCCTGGTTAAATCTGACGGCTTCCTTTGCAGTCGCTTGCGAAGTGCCCTCAGTTAGCTGAATGAGGAAGGGGTTGCATTAAGCCAACAGTTCTGCATGGATTTGCACACATGTACTGTACAATAGCCAGAAGAAAGTAGGGTGACCAGATAATCCATGTCAGGGAGGACACGCTGAGCTAGGACAGGAATTGTAAATTACCATTTCTGGATTTCACTTGAGCACTCAGCTCTTGCTGTGTGCTGATTGGTCAGTCTCCTATAATCATGCATGTGTCGCTAATGCTAATGTGAAACAGCTGGATGAGTCTTTCAGTCAAGGAAACAAACCAGTCAAAGCACAAGAAGAGCTGAACTATTTAGCCGAGCACAGGAGCCTTTCAATTAGAAAGTAGTTTGTAAAGCCCGAAGTAGCTCAAAGTGTCCTCCCTGACATGGATTGTCTGGTCACCCTAGAAGAAAGAAGTCTGTCACATCCCTCATTCATATAAATGAGTAACACTTTCATGGCAGCTCAGTGTTATGGTCAGTGTCTGTACTCTGCGACGGGCTGGTAGTGCATTGCTGGTACGGTACCTTCTCTTCCATGATCTTTATCTTGATCTTCTGCTGACTGAGCTGCTCGTGTTGCTCCCTCACTGCCTTCAGCAGGTCTGAGATAGACTTTTCCTGGGCATCTATTACGTCCTGTGGAACCCAACGCAGCACGGAGTCCATGGTCAACACAACGCAAGCGATTAATGCGTCACGTCCTCCACGCACACGTGGTGCATGCTGTAGAAGCGTGTTTTTAGCGTGTAGGACTGAACAATCATCGTACACAAACATCGATTCAAATTAATGAAGCTAAAGCGAAGCGTCAGTGCTGAAGCTCAACAGCAGTCCCCACCTTGAGCGCAGAGATCTCATCCATCTGGTCTGCTGGCAGGGGGTCATGGATTAAGACACTGATCTTCTCCTCCAGCTCCACCACCTTCTGCTGAAGCTGACTACGGTTCTCCAGGATGTTGTTCATCTTTGCGTGGATCTCCTGTGACAGGTTTATGACCTTCTCATTGCTGGCCTTCAGGATGCCAGTGGTCTTCATCAACTCCTCCTCTTCCTCTTTGATCTCACTGGTGATGGTTGACAGCTGGTAGAAGGACGTGTCGAAAATGCTGATCTTTTGGAAGATGTCTGTGATCTGGCTCTTGGTCTTGTGCACAAACTCCCGGAGGCTGTGTCCGAGCTGGAGCAGCCCGTTGGCCACCAGGCGCACGTCCTCCAGCATGGCGAAGCGGGACCTGGTCTCCATCAGGTCCTCCACTCTCTCGCTTTGGCCGGGGAATGCGCTGCTCAGAGCGACGAAAAGCGTGAGGAAAACCAGCCTCGCGTCCAAGTGAACCGTTACCATGATGGTAATGAAGAGCTGTAACCACTGCTTCGCTTTGTGAGAAGAATCTCAGACTCTCCGGAGGTCGGGCTTTATATAGCAGCTAGTGGTTAAGTATTAACTGGGTCGGGCAGATTTGAACAGACACATTCACCTGAGGTTATTCCATGAGGCTCCAGCGGGCAAAAGGATCACAAAAGTAAACGCAGTCCAGCCCCCATTTAAGCCCGTCTTAAATCAGCAAAGGTCACAGATTGTACTAAAATCGGCATCAACTTATTGAATAGAGAAAAACATGTAACTGCTGAGTTTCTCTTCCATATTCATGGATAATTTACTACATTAAAATTGTTCTTTATTCGCTTTGTTATTTTTAAAAGCGAACGAACCAGAACATATATTTTTCAGTGAAATTTTGCTGTGCTAATCTAGGGTATTAATGTGAATCTGACTATAGCTTGTTTGGTAGTTCCGTATTTTTTTTTCCTGGTATTTTCCGCATTGTTTTTGGCATTTATAGAATGTGCTAGAATTAAATGTACCGAATATATTGTGCAGCAGTTTCGACTTCGCTTTATTATTACATTAGTTGTTCCGTAAACACACAGAACACGCAGAAGATGCCAGGATGCTGGGAGGGGTTATTTGTTCTGGTTTTGCTTTGCTCCGGGCGTCGTAACCTGAAAACATGGCCAGTGGCATCTCAGCACTGGGCCAGCTGGACAGTTTTCAGGCTACATGCTGCCTGGATCATAGAATGACATTAGAATGTTATTACCGTGTCCATTTCTGTCTTCCCCATTGATTTGTTCTGTACAGAAGAATAATTAGCACACAGGGCTTAGCTACCTACCATTTCAGTTAGAATTACTTTTAGGATTTGAGCTGGAGTCGGGGTTGCCATTAGGGTTTAGGTTAGGGTTAGGCTTAGATTTAGGGTTGCCATTATGGTGAAAGCTAAGCATAGGGTTTGCATTGGGGCTAAGTTCAAGGTAGGTTTATGTTTATGTTTTGAAGAGGTGTGGCCAACAAGGGGAGTCCATCCAGTGGTCAGTGTGGATCCCAGTGCCCCAGTGCAGTGACAGCAAGACTGCTGTAAAAATGGTGCTGCCTTTCAGATGAGACTTAAAACTGAGATCCTGACTGTCTGAGGTCATAAAAGACCCCTGGGCATCTTTCGAAAGAGTAGGGGTGGTACCCTGATGCCCTGGCTAAAATTGACCACTGTGGCCCTTTCAGATCTGGCCTCCTAATCATCCCCTATATCTAACTGGTGACTTCTCTCCTGCCCCTTCACCACCTTAGCTACTGTGCAGTGAGCGTACTGGCATCCAGGCGGGTGCTGCACAGTGATAGTGGTTGCAGTGGCTCTCCAGTGGTTCTGTAAAGTGCTTTGGGTGTCTTGAAAAGCGCTATATAAGCATAAGGTCAACGCTTTCTCAGTTACTCACCCGCTAGCTGCTGTGACTGACTGCTTTACATAATCGACGCTGTCGGTGGAATGCATATGATGAAATATCCAGCGGAGGAGGCCTGTCGTGCTCCGGACGAGCACTTTCTGGAGAAGGCCTGGTTAAATGTTAATTTGCTCGCAGCAGTTTTGGCTGAGACTCGGCCTGTAGATACAGCAAACACTCCATTTGTCCTCGTGTTTACTCAGAGGCATCGCCTGCCTTCCACCTTCCAGTGGGGTAGGAGAATTTTTGTGATGGGGGGGAGGGGGATTTTGTAATGGAGCTTCTGTCGCACTATGACTTTGGAGGTCATTTAAAATAAAGGATTTGCGCAACCCAGGCTAGGGAGGTGCAGAGGAGAAATCTGATGATGCCTAGCCGACCAATGAGGTTTGAGAGAGCAGCAGGGAGGGCAGTTGCTTATTGGTTGTTGAGCTCTGGCTGGGAGGCGTTCAGTACTTAGGAGATGGCCGTAAGCAACATGCTACCTAAGAGTAAAGCAGGGGTGAGCTTGGGACGGCTCATCTCCACAGCGAGTCCGACGTGACAGGTAAGTGGAAGGTCACAGGACTTTTGCACTTGTGGAGGTTTAACGTCCTGTGAGGGGAGCAGGGGTTCTCTCCCGTCTTGACAGTCAGCCAGTAACTCAAGGTGCACTGCACGGTAAAAACCCTTCACCCTAGTAGGCGGCAGGCAAAGTCAAATAATTTCACATAGAACAACCTGGCAGGGGTTCACCCTGCGGAAGTGCACGCAGACACCGCCGTCACACGCAGACACCGCCGTCACACGCAGACACCGCCGTCACACGCAGACACCGCCGTCACACGCAGACAGTGTCAGTATCTCCTGAGTCACGACCCCTGTAGGGACTGTGCTGGGTTACCCAAGGCATCAAAGAAGGCTTTTTCAATTTTCAGTGACAAGCACAGGAAATACCAGACTTTTAGAGTGTGAAATTAAATATAAGAAACTCTTGCTATTTATTAAAAATAACTCGCGTCTTACGCATATCAGGGTGTTGTTCCGAGATCCTGAAAAGGACAACTGATGTTTGGATGGACTGGTCTCGCGTCGTTTTCCCGAACAGGTTCTGCCCCTCTACGTTTCTGCCGGCTTTCCTTTCACCGTGGTTTCCCTCTAATTATCTTAAACCGCAAATCACCAAAACCCAGAAAACTGATAGCGAAACAGGCCCACGTAACCAAGAAAAGATGCACCTTTTTTTTTTCTTCTTCAGATTTAACAGCCTTTTATTTCACTGGGGAAAATGTGGAAAATTCCAGAAAATAGCCCCTAACAGCCAGTCGGCTTTCCTTTTCAGATGAGTGCTTTGCTGCGCAGACGACGCGGTGTGGGACGTGCAGGACGTGTCCGTCCCGGGGCTGCCTCAGCACGCACCGTGTCCACCGCCTCCAGCCCAGACAGGTAACAAAACCCTCTGTTATTTGTGGATTTTACCTCACAAACAAGCAGCGCTTGGGTTTGCACATTATATCCTAACATCCTTGAACCGTCTGTCTGTTCCTGAACAAATCCAGCCCCAGCTAATGGATCTGCTACAGCATTTCCCTGCCAGGCGCGTGATTTAGTAACAAATGTTTGCTGGCTCCTTGACATTAATGACAAAGTTTGTTAAATGGATGTAATCCCAGGGTAGTCGCCTGGTTTGCACTATTCCTATAGCATTGCTTATGAATTCTTTCCATAATTACATGATAATTAAATAATAAGTCTATCACTCTTGTAAGTAATGTCAGATTGACACCGGATAAGGTGGCTTATTATCCACTTATATTTAATCAATAATACAATAAACACTGACGTAGAATGAGAAGTTGCATAGAATGTCTTGCTTATTTATTCTGGTTTTATTTTGCTTTACTGGACGTGTCTATTCATCTTTATTCATAGGTCTTACCTCTTAGGTAAGCTGGATGCCAGAGAACTAAACATCGAAGGACCCGTCGAATGATGTGCGCTTAGAGCCCAGTTCCCTGCGGTCAGCCGACAGCATCGGCACAGATCACACAGTGCGGGCCACATGTTCAGCTCGTCCGCCGCGGCTTTTACTGGTTTCGAGGGAAATTAGGCGTCGGTTTTATGCCTGAAACAGCATGACCGATACGGCTCACCGGGGGGGGGGGGGGTCGTGCAATCCCCCACTTCAGAATCCCGTCTTTGGCTCCGCTGAAGTACCGCACAGCAGATAACCTCCCTGTGAGGATGCAGACAGGAAGTGGACGGCTTAAAACAATCGCCATCGAGTTTCTCTCAAGCGGGAGGCTCCCCCTCGTAATCCTTGACGTTCCATCAATTACAGCGTATAATTTAATGAGCAGATGCATATCACAGATCGGGCACGGTACCAAGCAAAAAATAAATCAATTAAATTACACCATGTGACTCTCGTACAACCGGAGTACAAATATGCAGCCAAGATAAATTTAGTAGATTAATCTTCTTCTGTCATGGTTGCACGTTATATAATTGTTAAAACTACAGACATAGAAACCTCCTAATATTCATATTCAATATTCATTTCAAAATATCAAGTGAGCACTGTGAGCATATTGAAGCACATGCTGAAAATAGATGACTGGGTGCATAAAACGTGAAATTAATTAAAAACATCCAGAGTGACTCAAAGTCCTGGATTAAGATCCTGAAAAAGTTCTTTAAATGTATTTCTTCAAGCTTGTCAGGCCCGATTAATATTCTTCATTTTGTACGCTATCATCGCTCTGTACATTCTTTATTTAATCCTTCTGCCCTCCTATAAATAATAATGAACTCAGCTGCTCCTTTTCCCACAGTTTCAACTTCCTTTTCTTCCTTTGTGCAGTTATCTCCAGTATCAAGAAAGATTTGTTAAATAAATAAAGTATAAAAAATGTTGAACTATTTTATCTCCCCATAATGTTCCTAATTTTAAGCTCTCACCCCATTCCCCCCGTCCCCCCGCCCCTGGCCCTCTCCCATGGTGAGCATGTGCCTCTATTCATCGTGATTCTTGACCCGTACAACCTCTGTCGCCACAGCCCAAAGAGCATAGCCTGATATCGCCCCCTACAGGTTCCCCTCCAGTCACGCAGCTGACTGTAAATAAATGACCTCAAATCTGTGCAGACCTGAATCTCTTTGCTCAGCTGAATTATGCAAGATGTTTTCTAGCTTTCTGGATGACCATCTTTTCAGTTATTTGTATTTCATAAAACAGTCCAGATAAAAACTGTTAATACATTGTATTATTAATTATCTTAAAGTCCATACGTTAATTCAATTTCTTTTAAATATCTAAAATTTAAAGGTTAAACATTAAATCAAGAGACTGGTGCTACACTAAGCTTCTAACTTCATGAGTTTGCAATCGTTATTTTTAAAGTCAGTTGCTAACATAAAGGTAGCTTCTATCTGCTCTTAGTCTCAGGGAGACGGCCCAGTGCAAAGATCCACAAACCATTTCTCTCTACATGCACTGTATGCACTGCAGACCCCCATTACCTAATGTCCAGTTAGCTCTATGGTGAGCATTGGCTGTTAATGAAAAACCAGCCTCCTCCTAAGCTAGTGTCCACTGCAGAACCCAGAATGAGTTTACTTATGAGAAATTCTATAGCACTCAGTTATGTAACAGCCGGCACAATATCAAAGTCCTCTGACCTATAGTTTGGTTAGATTTTATTGATGTTTCATTTACACACTGGCACACGTCCTCTTTCTTTGCCTCACTCTTTACAGTTTGGTGCTGAATTACAGTGTGTTTTAAATATGGATTTTAAATGCAGCTGGCGTCCCATTCTGGGTGATTCCCTGCCTTTGCGCCTGCGGCTTCCGGGATCGGCTCTGGATCCCCGCGACCCTGCATAGGACAAGCGGGTACAGAAAATGGCTGGATTCTAAATTTAACATCTGTGAAGGTACCCGGGGGTGGTGTTTCTCAGTGGGCTGGGCCTCTATGCCTTTGATCGGAAGGTTGCATGTTCGAGTCCCGTGCTCAGCAAAATACCCTCTTTTCCAGCAAGGCTGAAAAATGCACCAAGGGTACAGGATAGACTGCTGACCCCCCTCCCTGCTCTGACCCCAAGCTTTGCTCTCCCCTCTGTAGGTGTGTTCATGTCTGGTTTTTTTCTTAAGGCAGGGGAAAGCACACATTCCAATGAGCCTGTTCTCGTACAAATGGCAAATAAAGCTTTGTTTCGTTTCAATTTAGAAAAATGTCAAGTGCAGCCAAAGCAGCAGGATAGTGAAGAGTGCAGATCGAGCAGGACCCTGAAAGCTGCAGAAGACTGTACTGATGCCTTTAGAGATGTTAAGGTCTGGCTGTGGCAGGTCATGTGACACACCGATCGGCAAAAGCACGGCAGAATGGCAGGAACACGCGGCTCACGGGGACTCATGGTGAGCTTTTTAATGCTGTTATAAAGTCTTTTTATTGAGCATTTTAACAAACCATGAAACAAACAAAATTTCCTAGTCGAACCTCTAGAAGAGTACTTAAGTTTTTCCAAGTGATATAACACTCTCCACCCATTTATGATGAGTAGGGGGCTGGTTTGACTTCCAATGAACTAAAATTAGCCGTCTTGCCAGCGACAGACAGAAAGCCCCTGCCTCAGGATTAACTGATGGTAATGAGAGCCAAGCTGGTAGCAGCCCAAATATGGCTACTACTGGATCTGGTTCAAAGCCCTTTTCACATATAAAACAGTGTGTCAAATATCTCAGACCAATATGACTGTAAAACAGGACACGTCCGGAACATGTGTACTAGAGTAGCTTCCCCTGGTTTGCATCTACAACAAGTTGGATCAACTCCAGGATAGATCCATGGCAAGCTTACCCTTAGAAAAATGTACTCTATGTACTATTTTAAATTGTATAAGACCATGCCTTACACATATAGATGTGGAATGTATCCAACTTATTATAGATTGCCAGACATCTTCCTGAGTCTCAAACCCAAGATCTGTACTCCATTGGTCCTTTAAATAATCTAATGTGAGAGACGTCCTACTCAAAATTGTATCATAAATCTTAGAAATCACACCATTTTCAAAAGGCTTCATACGTAAAAGGTCTTCAATTCAGGTTTGAACTGGGGGGCTTGGAAAAAGGCAAAATATTTGTTAAAGTCTCACCCCTGCAAATACCTGAAAGAAATGGGATCGTGGTTTATTATATGCTGTAATTTGCTCAAAGGACAAAACTACTGTCATCATATAGATCCCTAACACATTTTAATCCATTATTAAACCACAAATTGAATGCAGAGTCTACTAGAGAAGGTTTAAACATAATTAGATACTAAAGGTAACTGTCAGCATTTGTTTGATTAAAATGTAACCAAAATTTGGTCTCAATTTCAAACGAGCCAAGCACCTCTGGATTATCACACACAGGTTTACTGACCATTGGTAATAGACCACAGGTTAAAGAGATTGGAGAGACTGGATTACAAGAGAATTGCTCCATTTCAGCCCAGATAGGACCACCACCCTTAAGAAAGGTACTACACTAAGCTTCTAACTGCATGAGTTTGCAATCGTTATTGTGAGGGACCAGCAGGCAGAATCAGGGGCACAGAATTTGTTACTAACCGAAACTTTACTGAAAATCCAAAAAAATCATCAAAATACAAAAAGAATATCCAACAAAAGGAAAACCCAGAGCCCAATAAAATGAAGTCAACCAAACAGAATGAAACCAAAATTAAAGCAAAGCAT